TCTCGCGAATTTCGAGATTTTCGTACCTATTTAGGGTAGCGAGAATTGGAGAGCTTTGCCCTACAGCTTTAACGAGTCAATTTACAAAGATTGCAGTCTACTTGAGGGTGTTTCAAGGTAAATTTATCTTCATCAATGTAGGCCTGGATTATCTACGAATCGTTATTGCATAATTTTTTGTTTAAAGATACTATGTCCCTTTTGCAGCTAACATCAAATTCTGTAGAACTTTGCAGGAATTATGAATATGTCATGTATGTCCTATCTGTGAAATTTAAACGTTAGCAGTGTCCTAATATTCAAATTATGCAAAGAAACCCGTTTACTTGCTAGACTTCACTGTCAGACACCAATGAGTGACTGACTGGCTTTTTTCTTCTTTGGTAATAACATACATAAAATGAGCTGTAAAGGGTACATGAGCATTTTGTCTACATCAATAACTCACTTCTTGTAATGGCCAAAATTAAACTGTTTGAATATTTGCGCAGCATAAAACGTATGACCATTCGGTACAATAGTCTGAAAGTCAGACTATTACTTACTGGCTGGTTTTCCCAGCCAGGCTAGGAAAACATTACTCTGTCTTTATAATAGAATATGGTCTTCTGGGACGATTCCGGAACATTACACACGCAATGCTGATACCCATCTTAAAACCGAAGAAGGACTCCTCCCAACTAACATCCTACCGACCTATTTCATTATTACCTTGCTTTATCAAGATATTTGAAAGTATGGTAAAGGAGAGATTAGAATGGTTCGTAGAGAAAAACTAAATTTTGAGTAATATACAACATGGTTTAGAAAAAAGAGAAGCTCAATAGATAACTTAGTACATTTAGAAAATGAAATTCAGAAATACCTTTTTGTGGGTATGAAAACCATAGTTGTATTTATTGATCTGGCCAAAGACTATGATACTCTCTGGACGAAATGATAAATCTTCAAGTTACGTAGAATTGGCCTCCAAGGAAATTTTTGAGAAACTATTTGTTGAACCGTACCTTTCAAGTGCAAATAGGTAATACCAAATCGGCAATTACGCATCCTGAAAATGGTTTACCCCAGGGTAGCATTTTGAGCTCCCTCATTTTTAATTTAATAATAGGTGACATACGTTCAAGACCAGATATACATAGCTTGATTTATGCAGACGACATCGTAATTTGGGAATCAGGCCATGATGTAAAACAAATATGCAGAACATACAAAATTATCTAAACTCTTTGAACTCATGGCTCAATCCATTTGGACTCATTATGTCGATAGAGAAAACGACCCCTATATTATTTTCGAACAATACAAATGATGATAACTACGATTTATATTATAAGAGGTCAAAAGTTGATACCACATACAGAGCATAAATATCTCGGCGTCACATTTGACAAACGGATGACTTGAAGGCCTCATTATTAGATATTAGTAAAAGATGTAAAGGTAGAATCAAAAGTCTAGTATACGCCAAATAGTCTGGAGATGCTAAAGAACTAGTGATGATAATTATATAAGGCATTAATACTATCATATTATCAACTATGGTTGCGAAGCATACAACTCGGCGACGACAAGCGCAAAAAATATGTTGAATTCAGTTCAGTGCCAATGAAGAAGAACTAAGTGAGAAAAAGAAGAAAAACAAATTAGAAGAGAGAACTGCCGATATTAACGTTTAGAATCTTCATGTATATGATCTGTTTTTTTTTGGTTTTCGGACAAAACTTTGATGAAACGCGGTGGAGACGACTAGTCATAACGGGTGGACGTTGGAAGGCCTATAGGCTTAGCATTAGGCTGAGTTGAGAAGCTTGTCACAACGCACCGTGTCCGAGCTGGTTCTTTGGCGTCCTATATAGCCGATAAGCTTTTTGCTCGCCATCAACTGAATTCTTCAACATTAAACAAAAAGTTTAACTTTTAAAAATCCAATTTATCAAAATATATATATATTTAAAAAAGTAAATCTAATTTTAAAGGAATACAAATCCTAAGAGAAGAGGCCTAAATATTCACTTCTGAATGACAAACGCCTATAAACTTAAACAACGACAACAACAACAATTATAGCTCTTAAGTCGATTCGACAACTAATAGTCATTATTTTCCCACTTAAAGACATTTTCAAGACCCCCCCCCCCCCTTTTTTTTTTTTTAGGGAAGTATTTAATTAGTATTATCTTTCAAATGCCGTTGGAATTTTTCATTTTGTTGGCCTGCAAATGGGACAAAGTACCATTAAAGGTAATACAAAGTTTTGGGAAATTTTGGAAATCGGGTGGATAGTGATTCTTCACAACTTTGATATATTTGGATGCCCCTGTGGATGTAATAGAAGCACTAGAAAATTTATCCCCGAAAACACTTCTGCTTTCGAGAAAAATTGAATATAAAAATTTACCGGTGCTCCCGGTAAATTTTGATAAATTTCAAATAGCGCATACGGACGTGTTATGGTCGCTGCGACCATGAAAATGTCAGAACATTTAGCGAGGGTATATAATTTCCAAACGGGAATGGCTAATCGGTTGATTTTAGTCAATAAACATTGTTTTATAGCTTAATTAATATCTTGACCTGAGAGGGAGCTATACAACATAAAGAGTTTATTATTTACAATTGTATAACTTTAGACTCGATTTCATCCCCGACAAAGATCGCTGAATATTGTAGGACCGCATATGCTTCCAATATGTTCATTTGAACCAAATTCATGACCTCATACCAAAACTTTGTATTACCTTTAAGCTCCGAAAAATGTAAATCAATGTTTACGATATCAGAGAAAAACTTTCGACATGTGACACGAGAGTTAAGAAAAATCATTTAGCTTTAAAAATTACCATATAATTATTATGTATAAATTTAACAATATGCATCAAATGAGCGATTTCCCGAAATTTTGAAAATTAAATGAGTTAGAAATAGAATGTGTTTATCTTCATTCTCAATTTGTACATTGAAGAATAGCGTGAGCATGCTTTAAGAAAAGGTTGAGTTCTGCATGGGAAGAGGTAAAAAATACTTTGTGAGCGTTATCACTGTTATTATGCAAAGTGTGGAAGAACATCAGATAAAAAAATGTCCACTGTTAAGCATGGCTCTTCAAATGCCTCAATATTCTAAATATCATATGTCATGTAGCAGCATACAAATCAGGACAGATTTTTATGCCTCATGTTTGTGTAGTCCCATATACATCTTGTTGTGTACAGTGCTTGTAACTTCACCATGACTGAGCCAAATTTCTTATCATTTTGATGATTCCAGAACCTTGCAGTACACACCAATACTTTTGCTAGATTTTTTGTTTTCATAGGTTTTTATTCGTTTCTCTCAAAGAAAAATTGTACATTTATAACATTGGATACAAAATAACAAAATAATTTAACATAGGTCTTTATAAATTTACCAATGATCTTTTACATTTACATACAAAAGTTACACCTCTTCATTTTCCTTTGGAGACAAAAAAAAAATTATATATATAAAAAAGGGAAAAAGCTACAAAACACCTACTACCCCCCCCCCCCCCCACCCCACACAACATTTAAACACATAACATATACAACAGTATACAAAACACACGCTAACATAGAACGAGCAAAAAAAAAAGAAAAAAAAAAAAAAAAGAGGAGGGTCAGGAAGTTGTATATTGAGAGAAAAAAAAAAAATGAAAATGAAAACATTTATTCTAAACTTTCCAAAGCTTCCCATTTCCTTAAATGAATTGAAAGTGTGTCTCTTTCCATTGAAAGTTTTTTCTCTTCATTTCTATTTTCCAACAGTCTATATTCTATTTCTTTTGCTTTTGGAGGGTTTCCCTTCTCTCTACTGTGGAAAATCATATATTTAATCAAAATTAAAATGTGGTTCAATAATTGCTCTGTTTTAAAAGTAGTGTCATCTATTCCTATATGAATTTCTTTCCAGGATAATTTCTTCAAAATTGGTAAATTAAGTCTATCTCCACATTTCCCCCAGACTTCCTTTATTGTATTACATTCAAAGAATACATGTTGATAAGTTTCTTCAAAATTTTTGCAAAATGAGCACAAACCATTTTCATGGAACCTGAATCTATGTAAATGATGATTTGTATATAAAATATTATGCAATAATTTGAACTGAAATTCTCGCAGTTTACTACTTAAGGTACACATCTTTGGTTGAACATATATCTTTTCTACTTCTTTTCTTGGAATATTGTAAAGTGTCATTAAATTGCCGCCTGCCGAGTTTGTTTCTACATTCTTTTTAATTTGACTCTTATATACCATTTTTGCATTTAAATCTTCAAATGTAAACACTTTCTTTGAAAAAATAAATTCTAAACTAAAGCCAGTGTGAATTGCTTTTCTTAAAGGTTGAACATTCTGTTTCCATTCATAAGGGGCTACGTTATAAATTTGTTTTACTTTATCAATTTCCACTCTGCTCAAACCTAACATTATAAAATGAGCTTCAGGTTTCAATTCTCCATTTTCTTCACAAATGTGATGAATTCGATATATATTTTTCAAAAACAAAGTTTCCTCAAATAAGGTTTGACCTTCTAGTTGAATAAAATTATTATTATACAATATTTCATTCCCTTTGTATCTCTCTTCTGTTTTAACATATTCTTTCATATCTATCCATGCTTTCAGAAGATTCTGATAAAAGGATGATCAACCTTTTCTGATCGATTATATACACTGTTTCTTTCACAATGCAATCGCATGACTAGAACTCAACTTTATCTTTAAAATGACTTTGCTAAATGGCATAGAATTGTGTCTTCCGAAATAGGCGTAGTGTAATCTCAACGTAAGGATATTGGATATTTATTCTGCTATGATATGACACATTTTTTCGATTACATTGCAGTCTCATAGCTTTGATCTCATTTTTGTTCTATATATATATCACCTATATTACACTACCATTTCTCGTTTGTTTTTTTGAAGACACCATAGCCCCAAATTTTATTTGTTTTCAGACGCTGAATTTAAATGGACCGTGAGCTGAATGAATTTCCGGTTGACCCCAAACGCGGGAAATTCGTAGGTTTGTAAATTGAGATTGCTTTTCGTTTGCCGACAAAATCTAACTGGAGTAGGGACCTTTTCACTGCAAATTTTGCAAAATCAAATGAAAGGGTAAGTTCAGATAACAATAAATATATAATAATTGTAATTTTGTGGAGTTTTTGATGTGTGAAGACGTGTGAAACGCAGGGTTTTTTTCCCTACTTTTTCCTACGTCGCGCGTCGAGTCTCGAGAAGCAAAGACGTCAGCTCAAACGTTATTGGCATCGCGTAGCGCGTAGCTTGTTCGCCGAGACTCCCGGCGGCATGCAGCCAGCAGAGTCCGATGGATTACTACTGTCCTCGTAGCTCGGCCTCGCCCCAATTATGCAAAGCTAAGCTTTGTTATACACTGTACCATGGCATGCATGCTGCCGACATTACAAAGTTACACAATTAACGAAATAACATGGCGGATTGTGATAAATATTAAACATCATGATCAATTGATTCGTGGATGGTGGAGAAGAACTTCAAAGTAGATCTAGAAATAGAATCTAGATCTAGAAGAAGGAGGCGTTGAAATCACTGAAAAGGAAGAAAGCAATAAATTACAAGAAGAGGAAGAGTTAAGTCGTTAAGACTAAGAATAAGAGAGAGAGAGAAGAAGTCAGCGAGCGGCGGGGCGCCATCCACATCTAGACCTCTGCGTTCCTGAATAATAAAAAAAAATCGTGGAGGGGGGGGGGGGGCCATAATGCCCCCCCTCCCCCCCCCCCCCCCCCCCCCCCGGCCTTATTATTAGGGTTAGCGTCTAAATGGGTAATACTAATAGGATGACCTGGCTGAGCAAGTCTCAGTGGACATTGCATTACAGAGTCATTAAATAGACAGAGTGATTTGATAATTATGGTTTTGGTTCAGACAATGTATCCAGTCCTTCTTTCTCCTCACAGCATCATGCTTGGCAAAAAGAACAACTTGAGCTCCACAAGCGCCCTCGATGTTGATGTGGATGCAGGAGAGATGGATTCGGATTTACGTCCTATAACACCAACGGTTATGACTACATGTAAGAAACGGAAGAGATCATCATTCAAGGGCCCAGTCAGAATGACAGGTAACTCATTTGGACTCCTTTTTTTGGGGGGGGGGGGAGAGGATTGGGACATTCATTTCTACCTGTAATCATCATCGAAGAGTGAAGACTCAAAACACCCAAGTTTTCTTTATTATGCATTTTTATTTACTGGAGTTGATATTATATGAACAAAGATTTTTTTTCTCTTTTTTTTTCTTGAAATTTAAAATAGATTCATACATGTGCAGTGGTTATGTATCAGGGAATAATGTTGATATCAAGATGAACAATGAAAGGAGTACTGTTAATAAGAGTTACTTGTCTCACAATTTGTTTTATTTTTATAAATACATGAACATTCATCGTTACCAAAAAGAAGAAACATTAACAACCTCCCAGTAGTATCACAGTGAATGGATAAGAAATGCAAATCATCCAAAATTTGCCTTTCAATTTATATTAAAAACTCCAACCATAATTGGTTCTACATGTACTTCTAATGTACTCATGAAGAAGAGTAGTTCAAGTTCAATTTATTTCTCCACAAATGCAAAACATAGGAAGCTACATAAAATAAAATACATACATACAATACAATAATAAAACATGTACATTATATATAAAACGACTCCAGTTGAAGCAATGTAAGTTTTAAAAAGAAAAAATCAGCAAATGTGGAAGGGGTAGTCAAAAATCAAAAATGATTTGTCGAGGACTACCCCCAATAATGGAGAAAAAAAATTATACAATTAAAACTTAAAAGTAAATATAAGGTAAAATGATGAGGTGGTACCAATAACAAGAAAGAAGAGGGAGAAAAATATCAAAGACAGGGGGGGGGGGGGAGTGCATCTACCTATATGTGAATGTTGTAAAGAATGGGTTACTTAACAGGAATAATCTTAATTTAGCCTTAAATGAATACAATGAAGAACAATGTTTGATGTCAGGTGGAAGATGACTCCATAACATAGGTCCATTGAAGGGTATCCGTTTTTGTAAAAAAGAAGTCTTAGCTATGGGTATATGGAAACTATTTGCATTTCTTGTAGCATATGAATGAATAGAAGAGTTCAGTATAAAAGGGTCATCAAAGACAGGTGGCAAGTTGTTATGTTTGTACTGGAACATTAATTGACCAAGCTGCATAATATATATAGAATTAACATTTAAAATATTCATCCGTTTAAATAGGGGTGCAGTATGTGCTGGGTAGGAAGATTTGGTTATCAAGCGTATGGCTTTCTTTTGAAGAACTTAAAGTCTATTCAGAAGGGTTACTGAGCAGTTGCCCCAAACAATATTTGCATACGACAAGTAAGGAAGCAGCAATGTATTATAAAGGTTACATAAGATTGGCAAAGGAAATAATTTATGCACAACATAAAGAATACCTATTGCACTTGAAATCTTGGAGGCAATGTGGTTAACATGTGTCTTCCAGTTTAAGCCTTCATCTACATATATTCCTAAACATTTTGTTGAACAGACTCTGGATAAATATTTATCATTTAATTGCACATGTAATTCATCAACATCGAAATTGATATTTCTCCCTTTAAACACCATATAATTAGTTTTAGTCATGTTGACTTTTAATTTATTAGCATAAAACCAGCATGAAACCTTCTCCGATTCTGTTTTCAAATTCCTATTCAGTTGCTGAACAGATTTACCAGACAAAAATATATTTGTGTCATCAGCAAATAATATAAAGGACAATTTACTAGAAGCATAATGAAGATCATTAATGAATAATAGAAACAATGGGGGGGGGGGGCCAAGGATACTCCCTTGAGGAATTCCAGTCACAATGTTACATAAATCAGAAGACTGTTGATCAATAATAACAAATTGTTTACGATTATTTAAATAATATAAGTCATGATGAATATGAAACAAAATACTATTTAACCTGTTATGTTTTCTTTGTCATATTGTACCTCAGCTCTCCTTATCTAATGCAATGAGGGGGCGTTACTGATGTAAAATTGACTTCATTCTCTCATTTTCGCTCTTCTTTTCAGAGAAAATACGGGCAGATATAAGCACCATGCTGAAAGCTGTTCCCAAAATTGATGAGTTGTTCACAGTGCTTGACAAAATAGGAGAAGGTGAGAATACTTACGTGATGTTTATAGAAGAAATGATTTGTATGCATCTTAAGAAGCTTTAAAGAAAATATTCACCACTATTAATAGAAGTGAAGTTTGAACATTAACATTACTGTTAACCATCAAATAAGGCATTGTTTAGCTTAGGTATAATGTATTGTTATTTTTGATTCGTTGTTGTTTTTTATCACTTGTGAACCACGACCTGATCAATAGCCCCCACCCACTAGTATCTTTTTGAAGAAAGGAATTTATTCAATTAAAATTCTACATGTAAGTCTGGGTGAGCTTTGCATTTTTAATATTTTGTTTTAATTCATCCAGAAGTGGTACATTGCACAACTATCAAGATTGAATAAACTGTATTCAAGTATTTGATATGCCCCTAGGGAATTAATTGTACCCATACAACACTAAAATACAGTAGGAGAGATAAAGATATGATATCTTTTCCCCTTTCTTACAGGTACATTCAGTTCTGTGTATAGAGCCACTCTGAAGAAGACTCCAGACTGTAACCAGGAGTTTGCTCTGAAACACATCATCCCTACCAGTCATCCATCTCGTATCCTCAGTGAACTCAGCTGCTTGGTCAGAATAGGGTACGTCATATAGCTGAATGCTGCTCTGGGGCCTGTTTCATAAAATAATGTTATCAATAACAAGTTACAAGCTATTGTTATAAGCTACTGAAATTATGGCATCTGATTGGCTGAGAGCAAACTTTTCATAGAAATTTAGTATTTGTTATAGATAACAGGTTTCATGAAATGGGCCGCAGCTCTTTCATCGGTCATCCATCTCATGAATGTCTCGGTGATCATTTAAAAAAAAAAATTATTCAAGAAGCTCTATCCTCCTAAAGTTCAAATTGGTAACCGACTTTTCTTGACATTGTCCGCTGTTGGATTTCAAATTGAATTATCATATGGTATTTTGTACATGTGTTGTTTTTGTACTCATGTACTGTTTTTGTACTCATGTACTTGTGTTTTGTAGGTAAATGAGATTATTATTCCAGTTTGTAGGAATATGTTACAGAACCTAAATATAGGTGTAAGATTTTGTATTTACATGTTACAGTATATTACTTACGGTATCTATGGCAAAGGTCAAAGTTTATTCTCAAAAGTTTGCATAAGGGATACCACCTCATGAATCAAAATGTATGAGCCAGTTCTCTTGTTTCCTTTTCCAGAATCTTGTTCTTCATTCCATCATTGTTGGTGTTTTTTATCCTCTGTACTATCTGCTTTTCATATCTTTGTTATTTCTCCCTGTTCTTTACCCTTTTCTGATTATTATTATCATTTGCTGATTCACCAACACTAATTTACATTTTTGATTTTCTGTACTCTTATTTTTTTAGGGGCTGTCATAATGTGATGGGGGTGAAACTCACTGTGAGGGAGAAAGACAACATTGTCATTGTGATGCCACACTTCAAACATAATAAATTTCAGGTGAGTGCAGTATTGTGATGAAATAAACGATTTATTTGCTGAACCAAGAGGACAAATTTGATTTTTCAGACAAGTTTAAGAGTTGATCAAATACATGAAAGTCAAATGCAATGACTAGTCTGGTATTGATGGTAGACAATTTGTGTTAGGGAAGTTGTAAAGGTGCCATGAATAATGGGAGAGCTACCTCAATTACATCTAATCTAACCTCCGAGCAGTCAAAGAAGCACAAATGCCAATTAATGAGGGCACATGGGTGTGCTTAAAGCTGCCTTGAGATCTCGTCCTTGCAAAATACAAAGTGATCTTTGTGTAGTTCAAGGTCCGTTTTCTTGTAGAGATGAAAAGTTTGTTTTACATAAAAGACAAATATATCGGAATGTAATAATTGTATTATTTGTTATCTCTCTATTTGCTCAATTGTCTGTTTTCTGATTCCTTATGTATTGCCAAATGAAATAATAACAGTAATTAATGTATTTCAACATCCTTTCACCCTATGCAGGATTTCTACCATGACATGACCGTCAAAGAAGTCCAGGACTATCTCAGAGCCCTCTTCATAGCCCTTAGGAGAGTCCACAAGTTCAACGTCATTCATCGAGACGTCAAGCCAGGAAACTTCCTGTATAACCGACATTCCAGGAAGTAAGTCCTACTGTGCACCTTTTCTTGAGAAGGGGGAGGGGGATCATGGAAGAGCTGTAAAATGATGTATCCTCACCTGCTCTCAATAAATCATATTCTGAAATGGCTTGCAGTTGATTTTTTGTGAATGTTGGTTCCTGTTTTCAAAACAGGTGCAATGTTTCATTTCTAGAGCACAAGGATCTATAGATCAGGGGCTCAGGGCATCGTTTTCATGAAACTGTCATAAGTACAACAGTTCGTTTTGAGGGAAGTTCTAAATTAGTCAAATGCTGTTGTAATTTAATTTTTTGGGGTCTGCAAATGGGACATAGTACCTTTAGACTTTACACACATTTGAATAGGTTGTCGGCAAACTTGTACATACATGTATGGCAGTTTTGTGAAACAATGCCTTGTAAAAGTAATTTCTTCATAATATCATGTCCACTAAATATTAGCATGGTTAAAACATAGCAGGAAATACAATAATGAAAAATAGGTATTGATGATCTACTTGCACATCATTTATTCAAAGATTACTTTGAATGACTTTGAGCTACAGTTAACTTGAACTCAATATACTGTGGAATATGCTTGTTCTCTTTACTATGAAGGAAAGATGGCTTACAACATTTCTAGGTCATGTAAAGTAAACTATTCATATTCATGTTGCCAACTCCCCCCCCCCCCCCCAGATATGCTCTTGTTGACTTTGGCCTCGCTCAGGCAGTACCCACCAGATCCTCTGCCAAGACAACTGTAAAGCCTTCGATTGTAGGGGGCGTCCTCCACCACGATACCCCAAGGCCGCCTCAATCAAGGAAGAACACTCGGAGGGCTGTGTCTACATCAGAGAATAAGGTTGGTAAAAGATTCATAGCAAAATAAACGTATCGATCTATTGTTCCTGTACTTGGAATCTTGGTACTTGGATATGGTATTGGTATTGGTATTTATTTCAATCTTCATTAAAAAAACATATACAATACATACAGAGTATTAACAAACAAATTGAAATTTGAAATACATAAATACATGTAGAAGGGTAATATTACGGATAATAAGAATACAATTAAATTAACAACAAAAAAGAGAAGTTTATAATGTGTAGCATTGGCAAAGAGACTCTGTTGTGTAGGGTTTGTTACCAACAATTCTCCAGTAGATATGACCTCATTGAAACCAATCTTCTGGTTTGGTGCTTTGACATAAGCTTTGAAATTGGAGTAACAGAAAAGATGCATAAACTATCAATCCAACAAGAATTGATGTGTGTATAGCATGAAGCACAGTAGCTGGGGTCCTTGAACTTTGTAGGTCCTGGGTTCAGTGCACTTTTGTACCTAAATATAGGACATTAGACGTCAAATTGTCCAGTCCTTTGGATGTTATTCACAGCTGCATGCATTCGGGATGATTCTCTACATTCACTAAATATTTGCTTTCTTGGTGTCTCTGGTGAAGGAAACACACCACAAATACATTTATATGAACTTTAGGAGACTGCATTCTTTGCCCTAATGACTTAATAACAGTTCTTTTATTATTTACCTCGACAGGCTCTGACCAGAGTTGAACCGAAGAGAACTCAATCAGAAAGTCATTCTAAGGTCCCCAAGCTAGTAGAACTCGACCCCAACACATTCCATTCCACCGACAAGTCATCCCGTGACCGTAGCAACCACCGGCTGGATTCTGTCAATGAAGACGACCTCAAGAAGAAGGTGCCTGCAATGATAGCAAGGGGCAGCGAGAACACCGCCGAGGTGATCATCGCCCCTTCTAAGGAAAAGAAGCCCACAAAACCCCCCAAGCCGGTCATCCTGACAAGGAATTGCGCTGCCATCGCTACAAGAGGAGTGACTAGGAGGCTGCAGGACATGCCAAAGACACCTCAGGGTATCTGCGGGTGCTATGGTTTACCTCAGGTCTGTGATGTCTGCATGGCTAAGAAGAACCAGGTGGCACCTAGAGCAGGCACACCGGGCTTCAGGTCACCAGAAGTCCTGCTCAAGTGCCCTGACCAAACAACGGGTGAGAAGATCAAAGTGACATGCAACAATTATTTTTCACTATAACTATATACTGCAGTAAAATCTTCATAAGAGATTGTGTCGATAGCATTCACATTCAGCATGAAATTGTGCAAGAACAGCTCATATGCAAAGTTAATCTACTTATTAGTAAACAATGATAAACGGAGATAACTTTCTATAACGTGAATGCTTAGACACATCGTTGTATTGATGTATTGGGCACTATATAAAAGCGGAATATTATTATTATTAGGGCAACCACTTTTTGCCCTGAGATTAATGTTGAATTTACTTTGTATTTCTGCTGTCTTCTAATTAGAAGAATCTTTTTTCTACTGTTATTGGCATGCATAGACCGATCTTGTTTTTTTACCTTGTAAGCAGTGCTTTTTGTATTAGAAAGAAAATAAGATGAAATGAATGTACTAGCCCTATTGATGCTTCATCATACAGTCCCAAGAGGACAATATTCAATAAATTAACTTTTATTCATATCCTTTATTTTTCTATTACTTTCAGCTGTGGACATGTGGGCTGCAGGCGTGATCTTCCTATCCATCCTGAGTGGGCGCTACCCCTTCTTCCGAGCACCTGACGACTTTACAGCCCTCGCTCAGATCATGAGCATTATGGGAACGGAGGAGACCACCGAGGCAGCTAAGGTCAACGGTAGGTCAAAATGTTGTTGTTTGTATTTATGGCGTTCTGTCAAATGTGACTATTTAAGCCTAGTCTAGGTCTTTAGTTTTAGTCGTGTTGAGGTAGTCGAGTCGTAATAGTTCCTACAGTGTAGCTTGGAAACTCTGTGCGCCTGTACTTCGCTGGTCCACTGCTGGGGGATGTATCATCCCGGCCAACCCTGCTACATACATCGAGCAAGCTTATCAATCCTTCTGATCTAGGCCACTCAGATACACAATGTGCTGCTATAGCATGACGTCACTTGAGTTTCCTTGTTTTGGCTGATGTTGTTCTGTCAAGAACGTGCAAAGAAACTTGTATGTCAAAATGAACTTCATCCTCACAAATATTCTAAAAACTGAACTACATCGTGTTGTGAATTCATTGAAGCTCAGTACAGGGATTTCAGTTTTCAGGCCATAAACTGTTTTCAGGCCTTGATACCTTCTCTTTCAGTGTTTTCCAGATGTCCTATTGTACATTTTTCCTTAATTCATCTTTCTTGTAAAAAAAAAATCAACATTCTAATAAAGAATGAACATAAATAACCCAAGACCGAGGTTTACATTTGAAAGTATAAGTTCCTCAGGCAGGGTAACCTAACTAATACATTACATTGTAGGAGAACAAAACGGATACAGACATAGATTGGATTCCATTATGTTTGGATCTCTTTCCAAGGCTCATTGAATGAAACCAACTGGGGTTCTCATCTATTCATGTCTAAATTTTCAGGGGAAAAAAAATTGTTATTCTCCTAATGCCTTATCTTTTGACAATTGGTCTATGCCATCATCTCTATCTTGAGCATATTTGATAATTTATTGTTGTCTTCTACCCTGTTCTTCAATTCTGTCAGGATGAAGAATATTTTGGGGGATTGTGAGCAAGTTGTGTGTGTACAACAAATGCTCTAGCAACAATTGCTCCACCTTTAATTACCTGCACCTTCCTAACTTCAATGAGAGGCTAAACAATACACCTAACCCTGATCCTACCCCTATCACCCTAAAACCCAATGGCAATCCTAACCCCATTTTTTATGAAGTACACAGCGATTTTTTTTCAGAGCAAAAATTGGATCATCCCAATGGTTACTGTTTTAAATTTAAAAAATAATAAAAATCGCCTGAGCGGTGTTAAAAAGAATAAAAAGATATTATGTGCCCTTTAAGCAGAAGAAATTTGAGGTATATTGTGTCTAAAGGAATAATAACTGTATGACTTTTTTCTACTTCATTTCACTGTAGGCAAGAACCTCCTGTGCAATGTGAAGCTCCCCGCTATGGAACTAAAGACCATGTGTCGTCAGTTAAGACTTGGTGCCGTCCAGCGCAGGCTGAGCAAGAGCTCCCAAAGCAACGGTGAATCCTCAAAACGACGGAGGCGGAGCATCAACCAGACCTCACCCCCCAAAGAGGAAACCGTCGGTAGCCCGGAATCGCAGCGGAGCGTGGGCAGTGTTGGAAGCGAGGAAGGCCTTGTGGATCAGTTTCCTGACACGGCTTATGACCTTCTTGGACGCCTTCTAGAGCTGGACCCTCATAAGAGGATAACTGCAGAACAAGCCCTCAAGCACCCATTTCTACTTGAATCACTTTGATATGAGCTTTCCTTCTGCTAGCCTAAGATAGATCAATCCATTTCTGATGTCCATTGCACATGAGCTTAAGATCATTCTCCTTGGACGCCTTCTAGAGCTAGACCCTCAGAAGAGAATAACTGCTGAACAAGCCCTCAAGCACCCATTCCTTGTTGAATCACTTTGATATGAGCTTTCCTTTTGCTAGCCTGAGATAGATCATTCCATTTCCGATGTCCATTGCACATGAGGTGTCACTTGTCTGACCTACGAGACTGCATGTGGTTTTGACTCACCATGTCAGAGTTGCTTTGTGCAGAAAGGGAATGTAAAATGAACAATGCAAACATTGCCTTCACAGGCTTGATGAGCTCAAGTTATTACACAATTTAAAGCCTGTCTGCACTAGTTTGGCCTGGAGGGATTAGACCACCCAGTGTGGTCACTGACAGGTGGTTATCTCATCAGCTCTCAATTATCATAAGAAAAAGAGGATCATGGGGGACCAATGGGCACCGCTTAGGCATTGCTTTCTATATAGAGGGAGCAAATAGCTACAAGTAGTGCAGTGAGGCTTTAAAAGACCATGGGCATTGTAAGGCCAAAGAAAATTATTTTCTAGTTTCTCATCAAAATTGTTTGAAAACAAGAAAGTGGTGCCTTTATGTCATTGGACACTAAATGTCATTCTCCCACATACACAAGTGCTGTGGGGGTCATATTCACCAAATCTTTTTCTTAATTGTTCAATGCAATTACTACAGTGGTTAAGAAAAAAAGGTGATATCAATAATTCCTAAGGTTTTTTCTTAACTCATTTTCTTGATCTTTTGAGATTATTGTTAATGTCATGTGAAAACAATCTTGAAATGAATCCTTTTTAAAATCAAATAATAAGGATATAGGGGTTTCATACTTTTGTTGTATAAAAGAAATGATGCATGCTTTCATTTGTTCATTAAACGATCTATTTGCTCTAGTTTGGCCTGTGTATACACCTATCATACTCAACTTGAAGGCTTCATACCATAGATGCATACAGCCTCAACTCAAGTACGGATAGATCGTATAATAAAATCATTTGCATGGATCATTTGTATATCATGCACACAGGTTGAACACACAGAATCGGTCTATTTATGGAACCAAGGAGGGCTAATGGGGTCTTGATGCAATAGAGCAAACATTCCCCCCCCCCCCCCCCAGATACTAAAATGCTATTACTTGTTACGTTATTTGTGTTCGTTCACTTTTAACAAGTTTTCAAGAGACTCGAGCAGTGAAAGTGTCATCATATTTTCAGCTAGTTATATGGTTGGCCATACCTTTACTGTTGGGTGTGTAATCCTTAACTAAATAACTATTACTTACAATTCTTAAAATCTATTTATTTTTGTAAATGCATGATATTTATGCATCATTCTCAAATTCTACCATTGATTATGATGGTAGGTGATTTTTTACCTCGTTGTGGATCCTGCCTTTCATTTCAGCAGAATTGCTACCTCTCCATTATTGCATCGTCCGATGGCATTGATAACTAAACAATTTAAAAATAGTTTTTGAAATGTATTATTAGATCCTGATTATTAATTGGAATGCGTTTATCTTTTTGGAATTTTTACTCATGTTTCATTCTAACTTATCTTGTGATATGAAGTGTATTTATTCTGATGTTTTTATTACAGAAGATATTCAATAAAATATATTAATGATAAGAATCTTCTAAAGTGTGATTATTTGTCTTTTAGCCTTTGTTGAAAGATCTAGTATAAAATAATATTTGAAAATGCTCAAGTACTCGATGTTGTGAACAAAATGATATATACTTTCAGAAACAATCACAGATTATGAATTTCCTTCGTTGATTGATACAGATGTTTTCTGTTCCTCCCACTGATTACTTGATTTCCATGAAAAAAATTAGATGCAACGTTACTGGAATTGTCTCTAATTTCATTCTATTCAAGATGGTCTTGGTATATACCCCCCCCCCCCCAAAAAAAAAAAAAAAAAAAATCACCTCCACAAGCAAGAGTTGTTTTTCCACACCTTTATTCATGATTCTTTCATTCTTGGAAACATACATTTAGAATTAATGATGGGTTCTTTTCTGTTTTAGCATGTCATACCATTATTCAAATCGAAGTATGAGTTTACCCCAGTTCTACACCTGTGACATAATTAATTATGGACTATTATGTTTGGTTGATATTCCAGAGTTCCTTGAGAGAAACGTAGCATGAATTCTATTATCAATTATTAATGAATCCTGCATCTTGTATATTCAAATGACACCAGTTAGAAAGAGAATTTTGATTCTATCCATAGCTTGAAATTTGTTCGGGAGAAACGGAGCATGCCATTTTTACATTTCATTTTTTTGAAGATTAAAGCGTGGATAATTGATTTAGCATACTACATGGTTTCTGTCATTGGTAAAAACAGAATTTCGACTACATAACATGTCTAGGATATCATATCTTAATATCGAAGTGCGAAGTGGATTGATATGTTTAACATCTCTGTTTTAAGACCTTGATTATTTTCCTACTAATGAAAAGTCATTGCTAGATTCATCACTGTAATTGAAATTAATTGTTGTTGCGTCGGAAGCTTTTCTTGAAACTGTTCCATCGTTTCTTCAATCGAGAAGGGCGCCCCTTCCCGAATTTCTCTTGTGAAAGTTCGAGTATGTCTTTTGGAATAGGTGGTGCCGTCATTTGCCTTGATCTGTTTTCCTGCTCGTCCACACAAACGAAGGAGCTAATTCTGAAGTCATTGGAAGCTCGATGACTTGTTCTTGGCGGGCTATCTTTGTTATCGGTCGTCTGCGGACTGTCATGTGCGGGGAAGGTCACAGGTCGTGTGCGTACGGTCGATCGCCCATGAGCGCGGCCCGTCAGCCGCTTGATCTCGCACATGCGAACACGGAAGAGTTCGTGTGCCTTCTCCAGCTCGCCCAGTTTGTGTTGCAGATAGATCTCGAGCTCGTCGACTTCGAATTGACGGATCTGGCATTCTTCGTGAGCCGACTTCACTTCGGCGATCAGGGCGGGCTGCACGGGAGAGCAGTCATCGTCGAACTGGAGTTTCTTGAAGTCTTGCATCATTTCATGGTCGGTGTAGCCATTCCTGTCTCGGTTCATTGGTTGGAGGTTTTCATCCCATTTATGGTTTCGACGACCGGTGACATATCTCTGCCTGTTTGTTCAAGACGACAAAGAAATGAATGTTACCATTGAAATTCACATTGATAACTGAACTAAAACTGCAATTGACGTAGTGGCTAATTGATACAACATTGCAAAGAAAACCTGATACTTATAATGTTAAAGAGTTTCACGTTCGAATTCCTGACTTTTGTTTTTGTTTAATGCCCCATATTTACAAATAGCCATTAAATGAAAGGGGGACCTATCAACCACAAATATATGTAGAAAGTTATAACACGGGACACTTTTAACAAATCAATGAAAAGTTTAAAAAATAAAAAGAGAAACTGAAAGAAACTAGGTGGACTATTACGAAAACGAAACTTATTTACATCGAAAATAGCATCCTTGTCAGAGATCCCCTGAAAATTAGATTTTATTTTTAGCATAATGTCTGTTTTTACCATTCAACATATTTGACAAGATCGTTGAGTAGATCCATGAGTTCATTATCTCGACTCTTTCCTTTACGCTGGGTCCTCCTGAGTCGTTCATAGAGATTTTCTGTCATCTTCCAATGATTAGATTCTGAAGGAAAAAAAAAATTTGTTTGGAGTCTATGGTATCTGATTCTCAAAAAGCAAACACACACATTTATAATACTTATATAGACATTGATACATTTGAAGGGAATCTATATAAGGAATACTAAGAAACTAGGGGGTTCATGCAGTAGAGCTATACGTCTATTGATAGAGTATTCCATAATTACACATCCGAGCCTCTACATCACCCCTTCTTGGAAAATTTGCGAGCGAGCGAAGTGAGTTAGAAAAAATGTAATTTTTAGTATATTATGGGAAAATGTGATTTTGTAAGGCTTGTTTTCGTTAATAAAATGGAAACTTTTTATCTTCACATTATTGTTGTCTGCTAGAAAAGGATAATTGATATGATAGAAACGTTAGCAAAACCCCCATTCTTATAATCAAGACGAACATTTCCCCCCTCCCCTCTCCCCTCCCCGTCTCCATTTCCCTTTCCGTATCTGTTGATTCTCTTAAACCAGCTATATGATTCGCCTAAATTGTACGAAACAAATTAATGACCCATTTGAAAATAACAAGTTTTACGTGGATTATAAAACGAATTTTTTGTTTATGTATTATTCATTTAATCTTACCTGTTATGAAATCCAACGTCATGATGATACTTAATTTGAGGGTTCTATTTCGATCCTTAAATTTGGTTCGTAACTCACCCTATTATCTATTTTCTGTTATACTTTAAGAATTGTCAGTTTAATGTTGTTAAGCAAATTTGTGCGTTATGCGCGTTAAAAGTCTTATGACGTAACAATCGACGCATTGGCTTTGCGCATGCACCTAACGCTTACCTGGGAATGACGCAACAATGCTGCAAGCCATGGTTGATAAGCGCCCTCAGAAGGGCTCGGGGTAAACTTTCCACCAATGAGCTGCTCAGACGAGAGACTAACATGCATTTAGCCCAAGGCCCAGCGTGCAAGTATCAGAAAGAAGAAAAAATCACCACTGCAGTCTTATTCCTTTGAGTGCCATCAGATAAAGTTTAGATACAGTTTGGAAATTTGCTGGTTTTAAGACTGGTCATGAGGACCCAACTTCCTCCTGCATTTTCCTAAATACTTTAATTTGCTTCACAATAATTGTATACATGACTTGTGTAAATCACTCAGATCCTCGGAGTTTGGATAATTTTATCATTAATTTTGAGGGTGCTTCTGATATTTCGAATCACAATCTACCCATAATTTTGATATAGATGTGGGCTATATACATGTATATTCCCCAAATATCAAACCCCCAGTTACCGCCAACCCCTGCCCCTCTCCCACAAACTCACAGCCAAATCAAATTCGCTGCAGTATCCACCCCTGTCAGTCTCCCTCCCTCTCTCTCTCACTCTCTCTCTCTCTCTCTCTCTCTCCCTCTCTCTCTCTCTCTCTCCCCCCCTCTCTCTCTCTCTCCCTAACCATTTATCTATCCATGTCCCTCCCTCCCTCCCTAATTTCATCCACGCCTCTCCCTTGTCTCCGTACTTCTTTCTCTTTCTCTTCCTTTCTTTATTCCGCTTGTCGCCATCTGGGACCCCCTGCTCTTTATTTATATTTTTTCTCTCAATACGAATAAAACATGAAACTGTATCCCATTAATCAATATTACTTATACAAGTGATTTTCGTTGTCATTCTTTCAATTTTAGACATTTCCATTGATTTTAACTCCCTGCCCATTATACGTGCTCCCCGCTCATTTGTGGGAACGTACATTTTATTACAGTTCAAACCTTTTATGTAAGATCATTATCTGCCACGTACACGGTCTACTAAACTTAATTGCTCCCTAAAAAAAAAAAATCCCCAAATAAAATAGCAAACTTCTTGGTTAACTGTGCCAGTGATGCTTCGCAAACCATATTGTTTGTGTTCGCTTCTCTGCTCCCAAACCCGAACAAAACACGTTTTATTGTTATGGGTAATAATTATGTCCCTTTCGGCTTCTCTGAAGTTCACTGTCAAGCCCATTATCGTAAAATTACAAGTAATGAGCTTGCTGATTTTACGGTCTGAAACACCACAAAGAGAAAGGGTGCCTTTATAGGCGATAAACGTCAGCCCCCACATCAAACCAGAACAATATTTGATATTTGTCGGGTCTGAATGGCAATTGTTTGACTGCATTTTGTATAGCAATGATTGAATTATGAGGCAGTAAAACAGCCAAGACTTGCTATTTACTAACTTAGGTGGTATCAACAGCGAGCACGATTTCTTCACCAAATGACCCTCAAAATACCTGCAGATGTGGCAAGTCTCCATCACGTAGGCAGGCCAACCTGTTGATTTGGTCCCCTGTACCATATTTGTCACTTTTTAGTTTTAAGCCTGGATACAGAGTGGTGGTATCAGAGATGGAAAGGCGTATCTCCTCTTTTGTACATAATCATGTCCTTTCTACATCTCCGGTGAGAGAGTAATTTGTGCTTTTCAACAGATTAAAGTGTATATTATTTTTAAAAGGTTGAAGTGTTAATTTTTTATTACAAAAAAAAAAATCATAATCATCATCGACTCAAATAAATTCCAGACCGATATGACGAGATTTGATACGTGACATTCAAGTTGTAAGCAGAGCCTTAGCCAAGTGGAGGCCACGGTGTGACGGACTGTGCCACGATAATGACGTCATGACGATGCTGACATAGGAATAGAACATTCTCTTCAAGAATCAAGGCACTCACACGAACATAACGTACTAAATTAGATAAATCCTGTTCCCATCAAAATATATATTCTTCTGTCCCTATGATGTACCACCTAGCCTGTTAACACTAGCAGATTAACAACTGCCAAATTTCATGGGTTTTTTTTTAATGTAATACTTAATGCAGATGCAATATGTCAGAAGCTTATATCAACTATTGTAACGTATCATGAATTGCAAATTACTAGAAAGTTCTGTGCAACAGCCCCTACACTTTTTTGCAATGTTTTTATACAAATCATAATAATAATAATAACAATAATAATAATAATAATAATAATAGGCATTTCTATAGCGCCGTCTCTAGAAATTCTATTCCGAGGCGCACTAATTATTACCCCGGTTTTAGCCTATCTGTCATTACAGCGCTCCATCATTTCATTTCAATTTCAAGGAATTAATTCCACCCATTTACTTCACCTGGGTCGAGTGTGACAAATGTAGGTTAATGCCTTGCCAAAGGACATTAGTGCCGTGTCTGGGATCGAACCACGACCTTTGAATTTCAAGTCAAGTGCTTAAACCACTCGACTACGATACTTTTACAAACACCAGAGTAGCACATCATGACGGACCGTCAGTGCCGGTGTAGGTATTGAGGACATACCAAAACAGGAGTTGCATTTTTTATGATATATAATTGGAATGTTTTTGTTTATTATGAAGGGGGTTGTTTTCCAAGGGGAACCTTTTTACAGTCTGTATGGGCCTTGACATCTTCATTTCCATCTTCATAACTCACCCGAGATGACAAAATTGTCAGAGCAAAATAAATACATCACCTGCCCTCTTGGTTGTGTAAATACATCATAAATTGGTGGATGGGGGTTTAGACAATATGGTGTATGGTAGGAATTCAGAAAAACGAGCGTGCGCAAGGGAGTCATAATTATACCAGAGGGATGAGCGTGATGTAAAGAGGTTTTAAAACTGAAAGACATAAAGTACGGAAAAGAAAAGGATGGGAAAACAGACAGGGGGAAGGCGAGAAGAAATAAAGATTGAAGAAGTAGGAAAAAGAGAGGGGAGAAAGAGGAAATAAAAGATAGATCATAGAGCAAGAGAGAGGTAGGCAGGGGCGTATCTTGACATTGGTATCAGAGGGGTAGATTCAGTAGCGGAAATAGGGGGGGGGGCTTAAGCCCCCTAACAAATTGAGCCCCTCCCCCACCATTTTCGCGAGGCACATGTAGAAAATGAATGCAAGAACCCTTAAAGCCCGAAACCCCAAGTCCCCAAAGTTCCCCCTCCACCCTTCCCCTCCCCCATATTCTAACAGTCCCTCTATGGATTCCTCTCCAGATGGATTGGGGCGTTATTTTGAGCAGCTTCACTTTCTGTAGACCAATTTATACAAAATTTACATTCCTTTTCCAGACCTTCAAACGAGGGCGGGGGCGGGCTGCCCCTGTTTAATCCTATACTGGTAAGGTAGATAAAATGTGATATAGGAATAAACCAAGAGTCAGGGGTCATGCATAATGCGTACTAATTCAAAACTTGATAATTATTCCACTTTGAGCATTATTCCACCCTTCTTTTCAAACTACTGGATATGCCTGGATACATAAAATGTGATATAGGAATAAAAACAGGAGAGGGGGCATAGTGCGTAACAAATCGAAAACTCCTGATCGTACTTGGTGCATAATATGCGCCATCCTACTAAAGTGCTATGAGTCAAACAATGTGGGTCTACATGATGTAGGCCGATTTAAAGAGAAAATCCACCCTGATATTAAGTTGGTTTGAATAAAAGCAGAAAAATGAGAGAAACGGGTCAGAGAAAGCGCGCAAATACCGATACAAAAAAGAAAGTTAAGAATGTTTGAAGTTGCCATCAGTCAAACAAATTGGCAACTGTGTGACGTATCTCGTGAGCTCTCTTTCAATTTGCTCTGTACGAAAAAGAAAATGAAATTTCTATTTCCCCTTGATAAAATGTTCAATCATACATGCACCCTAAATATAATTTTTTTGCAATTTTGTTTCTACAAAAACCGCTGTATGGAAACAATCTATTCCGTCATCAATGGAGACTAATCAAAATGAAAGTTTACGACATTTTATGTCCGGAGCAAATCGGAGAGGAGCTCGCAAAATGTACGTATAACCATAGTACAGACAATTCATACTTCACGCTGAACGTGTTAATGATATACATGTATCAGAATTATAATTATTTATCACTTTAACAATTTGGAAATGTTACATTATCTTCCGGTTATTTTCTCCTCCAAATTATTACTTTGACCTTTAAAATATAGTTTTATTGTTTACTGACATCCTTTAATTCC